AAACTAAAGCATTTCGTTTCATAGAGTTCAGAAGAAGAAAATTCAAGTAAGTACAAATAGAATTACTAATGAGCAATTTGTTTCTTGTCCATGATCTTTCAACTGAGGCAGATTGGATTCTACAATGCTGTGGCCATACCCTGCTATACTACACTGACCCAGATCCTGCCTCCCACAGAGCCTCTCCTCAAAGCCTGCAGGTGTGTATTGTGATTCAGACTGTAATGGTATTCTTAAAAACCTAAGGCTCAGTACAAGAGTTTTTACTCCGTCATCTTGTGGATGTGTCTTAACTGTTTACAGTTAATATCACAATTGCTTGGGTTGTTGGCCTAGGTATCAAGTTGTTAGGGGTCTCGGGTGGTTCTGGCTCACCAGCCTCCCCAGGGGCACCTTCTCCTCTTCAGCTGATCTTCAGTGTATCTGGGAGGAGTGACAGAGCAGCCAGTGTCGGGGACCAGGGAAAGCCAGTGGTCAGCCGAGTGACAGAGAGAAGGCTCTGCACAGAGAACATCTCAGAGTCAGAGACCCCGCCTCTTACACCTGTCTTCTGCCTGCACCAGGATCAGAGTTTCTTTCCTGGAGGGAGGCAGGCTCTTTAAAGGTGTTCCATTAAAGGTGCTGACTGGCCTCAACTCTTGCAAGCCCTAGCCAGGCTGTGTCCTACAGCCCATGGCACACGGTACAGCCCCGGGAGATGCTCAAGCAGCCCTCTTGGCTCTCACTAATCCCATAGCCATATTAGGCCTCATTTAGTGTACTGTACAAGGGTGTATAGGGTACTTATCCATAAAGTCTTCTATTCATCAAGAAGAGACCTGAAGGTATTTTCAGTCATACAGAGGGTCCCTACACGATACTATTTTTATTTAAAAAGACAACAGCCAGCAGTGCTTATTAAGGAAGGCAGGGGCTCAGATTAAATTAGTTTGTAAAGCAACCTGAATGGAGATTTCTTTCTTCTTTTGAGTATTATTTTTTCCTTCCCAAAACCAATTTAAGCCATCTGTTATCTATTCCAGGATTCAATACCTCCTTCTTTTCCCCCATCTTTTCTGAGAGCTAAACTCAGTTAGGAACATTTAAATTTTTGAAACATTTTTACTTTATTTTAAAAACAGTTCCCGCTGAGAAAAGGGAAGAGCAATAACATTCCCCACTTGGTGTCCAGGGGCTGTTTACAAGTACTCAGCCATAGCTGCTCTTGGGAGTCCCAGTGGCTAAAACATGCAGTTTAGCCAGATAGTTTTAAGCAAACCAAAACTTTAATAGTGTACCCCCACTGTCCTCTGTTGAAGCTTATTTTATGCACTGTTTTTGGGGGGCCAGTTAAGGACAACAAGACGAACAAGCAAAAGCACTTTTTAAAATGATCTCTCTCTCTCTTTCCTATTTAAGAGATGGTTTCTGTTTCTTTTCTAGTGCTGGGAAGGTTAATGGAGTCTATGGTTAGTTTGTTAGAATCTTACCATAAGGGCTGTCACATGGGACAGGGGGGAGTGTGAACTGGGACTGTCGCTGTTGAGACCTGGCATAAGAGTGAGTGCACATTCCAGAGAAATTGGAATGTCAGCCAAAATCCAGATTTATAGTTTAAAAATCTACTAAGTAGTCATCTGAATCTGTTTATTTCCAGAACCCTGTTTTATGCTAAATATTCAAAAGTCAGCAAGAATGAATGGTGGCTGGGTCATTATGCACTGGGCCAGGCGCTTCCCTGGAAAGTTTTGTGAATGTGGCACTTAGCTATTTTTGCATCTTTGATGCATTTCTGATTTAATGTACTTGGCTGACCCACATAATCACTGAAAGCACATTTTACTCTTACAAACATTTAAAGCATTCAGCATGTATCTTTGGTGTACTAAGAAATGTACAAAATTTAGTGTCTTTTTCCAATATAGTGTTATCAGAAAATCTCTAGGATCTGATCAATAACACCTGATTTTATGGTACAAAAGTTAAAAGTGTTCTGCTTGTCAGATTATATTTTGGGAGTTTCTTTGGTCCAAAGGTATCTTAGCATATTTTCTATTAAAATAAATTTAGAGAAAGAATTCATTTTGTCTGATTTTGATTTTGCGTAAAAGAAAGAAAAGTTGAGGTGCAAAGCATTGCCATGACCTCTGCCAGGTTAGCCTCAGAGCATAAGAGACAGTCCTGCAGTTACTGGCTAGCATGCCTGTGACATTTGACCCAAGGACAGAGAGAGAAAAAGATTAAAGAGCTGCAGGAGAAATTAGGCTGCCCTTCAGAAGGGAGTTCACCAGAACCTAAATGGGGTTTTCCTCTAAGGAAATTTCGTTTGTGGCCAGGTGTCATCAAAGATGACTTCTTAGATGTAACAGAGTATTCAGAATACAGGTGCTCAGGTGTGAGGGGAGAAGGGCATATAGGCCTCCTAGGAGCTGTGCTGTTTCTCCCCCACCACAGGGTGTACTGGAAGCCCTGCTGCTCCTTTGCTTGCTGGAGGGTCTCCCGCTCTGCCAGCTCTTGCTTCTTAGCAGGAAGCTCTGGGGCTCACCCCAGTCAAGCTCATCTTGGTAACAGATTCAGAAAGGTCATCCAAGCTCCCACTGGCTTTTGTCTTCACAGACCTGAGCTGGCAGTGTGCAGTGCAGCCTTACATTGCTGCCACTAGAAGCCAGTGTGCTCAGTCCTGCCACAGGGTCACTGGCTCAGCTTTTGAGATAGGGTCTAGAACTCTCTAAACTTCCCATGTGACTCTTTCTCTTGTCTCCAGGGATAATCTGAGTCAGTGGGAGAAGGTGATTCGAGGGGAGGAGACTGGATTGTGGATCTCAGCCCCAGCCCCAGCCACAGCTCCAGCCCTAGCTCCAGCCCCAACCCTAGCTCCAGCCCCAGCGGCCGAGGGGACTTCTGAGAAGCCTCCTGTGAAGGATTGATGGTCACACCCCAGGCGTCCCACCCAACGGTTCTCATCCTGCTTCTTTGGCGCTTTTACCTTTTATTTTTGCCTGGGAAAACCTACACCTGGTAACTGCAGGGCAAACTCTTGGAGAAGGGAACATCAGTATCTCTTTGGAGCAGCCAGCTTCCTGCCAAGCTCATGACACGTGCCACAGGCAGTGAGCAGCCAGGATCGCCCTGTGTTGAACGGCAGCAGGCCAGCAACTCCACTGGACTCTCGAGCCCCCTTTGTAACAGGCTAACCTTGTGGAGGCCTTACTGGGAGGGGAAAGAGACCACTCTGAAGGGTACTCCCCCTTGTTCCTTTCCACAAGGGTGTAAATGGTACTATTCTGGTATTGTACTTTGGCTTTAACACCAATGTTGCTTTGTTATTGTTGGTTATAAATAGGGTTCTTTTACACATTACTGTTGTGAATGTTCGTGTGTGATCTTCATATGGTTAACCTGAGTTGTAGCCCACAGCCTCAGGACAGTGTCATGAAGGGGGCAGAGTAAGAAGTGATAGGAAAAAGTCAAATTCTTGCTCCACGGCCTCATGATTTCGGGTGGATCAGAGTGCGCTCTCTTAGGTGTGTTATAGCGGAGGGTGCAGGAGAGTCCCTTGCACACTAAAGGACACGGACTTGTCCTGTGAAGAGATCCAGGCACACATCCGCATAAATCTGAGCACTTCCACTCTCAGTTCAAAAGATGTCAAGGAATTTTCCAAACTTTTTTCTTCATAGTAGTTGTGGTAAATTTACCGAACCCTTTGCATAAAGAACAAAAATAAAAACAAGGCACACTATTTTTTTAAACAAGTCTTGTGGATATAAAATGTGAACTTTTAATAATGATTCCATGTGTACCTTGTGTCATGGCAACATTTTTGACTCACATTCAAAATAAAAGGTTTAGTCTAAAAGTTATTTCATTAAAACACCATACATATTCTTAAAATCATATTACCCTCTCAAGTGTTAGTCCTGTAATTTACTCTGGGCAGCTGCTTTGGTCCCATATGACCCTCTGTCTCTGCCCCATCAAGCCTGGTGGCCACACTCTGTAGCCAGCAGGAGAGGCAGCCGTGCCACCATAATGTCCCTTATTTTTGTCCCCTTCTGCTTTTCTCACAGGTCAAATATCCACTGAGGAGCCTACGGTTTGGATGGTGTCTTGTGCATGACTTTTGGCAGATTAATGCTACCGTGCCGTGTCAGTAGTGTTTAGTAAGAACCACAACAGAACACCCTGGCCCTCTTCCACAGGTCACACGACAGTTACTTCTGGTTCATGTTGGCGCTTTCAGGGCTATCGTCATAGTGATCCAGTGATACCTGAATCTACACTTAAGTTCTCACCCAAAGGGATTAGAGTCACAGGCAAATCCACAACAAATAACTTGATCCAATTTTCATGGCAGGAATGTTAATTTAAAAAATAAAATTCTAAAACAATGTTTTCTGCAGACTCAATACCATGCACATTGCTGGCCCCTTGAGCTTGTTTTTTTTCCAGATGAAATCAGGTTGCTACAGCATGTTTTATTTATGCTGTAGCAGAGGTGGCCATACATAAACAGTGATTCTCTTTTAGATCAGCACTAAATATTCAATTTCCATATAGGCTTCAAAGGTTACCATCTTCCCTGTATGGAGCTCCATTGTAACTATATAATAAAAAACATAATAATGCTGTGTGAAGGCCTCTACACACATGTATGTATGTAAGGTATGTAGACATACACATTGATGTATATATGATGCACAGTCATGTATGTAGACACACACCTGTTTGTATATGTAGATGACACACACGTACACCAATGAAAGAGAGATTGGGGGAAAGAAGCAAACCCATGAAAAATAAAAATCACCCCTCTGCTCCCAAGCAGTGGCTTTTGTGTGGGGAAATGCCTAGGGCGTGATAATAGGTGACTGGAGGGTGTTATTTTCACATTAGTGCATTCATAAGACTGACACTGGTGAGTCACATGTTGTCCCCCTACACATTTATGAAACCGGATCCCATCAAATGCACCTTTCATCGCGCAGGTTAATTTAGTCCTCTGATTTAAGTTGGAAGCTGAATTTCAGAAGCGGGTATCATTTAGCATTGCTTAACTAAAAGGATTTTAAAGGAATGCATGAATTGTGCCTCTTCTTATGGAATAGTATCATGGGGTGGAAATCACATGGCTTCTTTGCATCTTAGTGTGGCAGTTCTCATGAGAATATCACAGAAATTTCCCTTACTTTGACATGGTCAAGTGGATTGCCAAAGATGACCCAAGGGAACACATATATATTTGTTGGGTTGTTAACTTCTTGTGAGACACTGTTACAATCGAAGCAGTTTGAACAATGGACTCTTTGCTGCCACAAACCGTTGACATAGCTTTTATCACATGCAGGATTTAATTAGGAAGCAAAGATTTACCTAACACAGAAGAGCCCAGGATGCAGTGATACTTAGTTAATAATAATTTGCTTGGGGAAACGTTTAATCAACAATGTTTTTGCATTTTGGAAAAATATATTTTGCAGTCCAACTTTTGAGTTCTTGTTCTCATCTTTTCCCCAGATCTTTTCACAAATGCTAATGTGATACCAGAAACCAGGCAGATGATTTTTTGTTAACAAAAGGTTTTGCTGACTCATCTCATCAAGATGGTATTTTATAGTTGGCCAGGTTTCTATTGTCCAGTATAAATTTGGTAATCAGTTATGAGAATATATAGTATGTTCAATTTGCAGATATTTCTACTGATTTATTAAAGATGTTTCCAGACTTTGTGAATATATTTTTTAACTAAAAATGTTGTTGGAAATATAAATGCTGCCCTACCATGACATGAAATGTCCTTAAAAAATGTAGGCACCCTATTATAAATTGGTAATTGACTGTGTGAATCAGTTAACTAGGAAAACTCAGAAGGGAATACAATGGGTGTGAAAACTAGCTGTCAAAAATAGCCCTTTTACTATTACCCATTTTTAGTTATTTCCAAGAAACATGTGAGAAACCAATGTTGGAAAGAGACCCAGTGGAAACCTGGAGGTCCCTGCGCCCACTCCTGGGCTCCCTTGTGGAGAAGGACATGCACAGAGGTCACAGCTTTGGTTCCTGGTACTTGTTCCTACAGCAACAAAAACAGACTCATTTGAAAATAGATTTGTTCTGTGTAGGTTTCCCCTCTTTCGCATTTAAATAAAAAATTATTTGTTTTGCTTTTGGTACTGGGGATTGAACTCGGGACCTTGGGCTTGTGAGGCAGGCAGCGGAACCACTGGGCTAAATCCCCAGTACTTGCATGCTTAAAAGGTTTTAATTTATACAATCTCAGTTGCTTTAGTGGTGTGTTCATATACACTAGATATGTTTGTACAGGATACATGGAGAGGTGTACATCTGTAGATACCTGGGTTTATAAGTAGCTTATATTTGTGATATTGTATCTCTGGTCTTTTAACTCAAAATTAAGGTTTGAGCTTTAATAGGACTATATTATACACCATGCCTTGGCCTGTGCCTTTATTTTATATACTGAAATTTTAATTCTTCACTCATATATTTATTATTTTGCTTTTCTTGCTTAAGCATAATGGAAAACAAAGAGACACCTCCCTGATTAACTTTACCAAGTTGAATCCTCATTAGATTCTTTTCCTTTATTTGACTTCATTGACTTCATTGACACATAACCCGGTGACTGTAACAAATGAGCTATTCAGATTCTTTTTTTTGCAAAGACTTCCAAGAACCGTGACACTGATTATGATGTGATTCTGTTGGGTGTCAGGTACACAAGCATGATCTAGACTGTGAAAAAAAAATCACTTCTCTCTTTATATGTTTCAAAGTATTTGATTTCTGAATTTTGCTGATTTGATTGAGCCATAACTCTATAGAGACTATATTCATTTAGTCATTTTAGTGAATTCCTTCTATTGCAAGTATTAGTCTGGCTTAAAAATCACTGTAAGATTTCGGTTTGCTGTGGATGCTTTCAGTTACTCTGTCCCCATGCTTGCCAGTGCATGGCCATTACAGTTTAACCCATGTGTAAGTACCCTGATTACACATTTTGCTGACTATTTTGAGCACTGCTACTAAGTTTAAATTAGTGACACCCAGTGCTGTATGTACCTTTTTGTTGTTGTTGTCTTCTTTGCAAAACTGATAATTTGGTTGTCTAAAACATTAGGTGTATTTTATGGGATGATAAAAATAGCAAAAATGAAAGAAGAGTGTTCAACTGTGTTCTTGTTCCAAATTAAGAAGATGAAGCAAAAAGAAAAACATCAGTGCTTCCCAAGAAAAACATTTAAAATCCAAAGAAGCACCATGAGAGTCGCTTCATTTTTCTCCTCCTAACCCACAGTGCAAAACAGTGTTTTGTAAATTGTATAGTCTGCCTGCCCTTTACTGTAACCATAATGAGAACCACAATTGAAGCACAAGATCTGGGCTTGACTCTGTGGGGGCAAAGAATGACATCACCTAAGGACCAAAGTGGAAACCTGCAGCTAGATCCAGAGTTTCCCACATAGGGAAGATAGTTTATCATTTCAATACTCAGCTAATAATTTTGAGGTACTGCATATTTGCCAACATTTATATGGAAAGTTTTATTCCTAATATAAGTTAAGTTTTAAAAGCATATTATTTGATGTGCTTACCCACCTAAAATGTCATCATGGGCATTGCAACCTTTGTTTTTTTTTTTCTTTAGTTACCCCAATACCTAGGCCTATGCTATATCTTGTATAGCCAGTATAAATGACACATGGGACTATTATTTTCTATACGATCTGTTTTATGGTGTATATGCTACATGTTCATTTAGTGTGCAATTTGAAATTATGATAGATTTATAAATAGAAGGTGTTTCTATACAATGCCCCTGTCCATTTGAAATTATATGCTTGCCCAAAACACTGTGAAACAGTTACCAAGTTTGTAGAAATGCAGCATCTTGATTCTTTCAAGAAGAGGTGACTTTCTCTATGTGAACATGTGAGCAAAAGAGATTCTATATCCATTCCTAGCAAAGTTGTCTAAGGTTTACTTGGGATAATCTTCTTGCTGACCAAAACCTGCTGGGATGTCACACAGGTTTTGTGCTACCAAAAATACAGTACTCATAGTAAACTGATTTGCAGTCAATGGGTCTGTATCCAAAGCCTTAACAGGCTCTCTTTTGGAAGGGGAAAGAACTTCAAGTTCATAATATCCAACTTTACTATAGTTGATGAGTTAGTAAATTAAAAAACGATTTTATATGTCTGACATAAAAATCTTTGTAAAATGCGCAAGTGCAATAACTTAAAGAGATCTTAACTTTGCATTTATAAATTATAAATATTGTACATGTGTGTAATTTTTTCATGTATTCATTTGCAGTCTTTGTATTTAAAAAATCCTTTATTGTTATGTTTGTATAATAGAACAGTAACCATTTATTAAAACTTAGGTAAGATGTAAATAAATTAATAATTCAAACAACCAGTAAATATGCATATATGAGTGTTACATCGCAAAATCTGTTTTACTAACATGCTTAGAGCAGCAAGAAATCTTTTGTCGATATGTAATTATACATATAAAGTATATATATATATGTATGATACATGAAATATATTTAGAAATGTTCATAATTTTAATGGATATCTTTGGTGTGAATAATTGAATACAGAGTTTTTAAAATATCTTTCATGTTTATCATTTGCTCTCATTTGTGGGGAAGATAAGAAACATTTAATGAAAGTTCATTTAGAAACACTCCAGACCTCCAAGTCAACACTGAATTAGTGTGCTTCACTTTTGCCACTTCATAGCAGCAGAGAGAGACAATTTAAAATTATTTACTAGCTTCATTGTATAATTTTTAAATTTCCAGAGACTATTTGGGCAAATAGTGGCCAAATTAAGGGCACTGTGTCCTGGCCTGAACTTTCTGCAAACTCATTCCCAGCCCCTCCCCAACACACAGTATCAGGAGTATACCTCTAAAGAAAGAAAAGGCCATGCAGGCAACAGAGGACATTTATGTTTGCATATCAGCATAGTAAAGGACATTTTTAGCCTAAAATTTCACGTAGTCTTATGAAGTGACAAGTATTCTACAAGTATACTTGTGTATTTGTCTTTAAAGCTCTGCTTAAGGAAATGGTCTATTATTTTGGCTATCTCTGCTTGCCACCAGGGGGGCACGCAAGGGATATTTAA